CTAGTAGTTGGGGGGGGGGGGGGGTTGACAAGCGGAACCAGTCCTTGCCGGGCCCATGTGGGGAAATTTTTTCTCCTCTTTTAAATTATATCCTCCGCCTTATCTCGTGAGGTTCGTTCGTTCGTTGTCCTTGAGTCTTTGGCTTCTAATTATCGTCATCGTCCTCGTGCTCGCGTTCCTGTTGCAGGAAATGGAATGTTTTGTGCATGCGAGTGATATGTCATGCTGAGGGTGGGTTTCCGTTCAGAGCTTCTTCGGTGCTGGGGGCTTGTGAGGATGATATTGGTGGCGTTCTGCGTCGTCCAGCACGGGGCTTTTGGAGGGGGGAGGGGATTTCTAGGGCTTTAAATTATAGTTATCATATGATAACACTGGTATTTCCAAAAGTTACAGTATCATAGTTAGCGTCCAACATGGGTACTGTACCGTAATCGATCACGGAAATCGCACCATCGAAAAAGCGCCCCCGGAACCGCGCCAACCGAAAGCATAACCATCCCCACGAGTACTGTACAGAACCAACTAACCCAAAGAGATTAAGGTTAACTCACGTACAGCGCCATACCCCACACGATCCACCAAAACGACAACGACAACCATGCCAACCCCGCCCGATTCCCAGATCCCAACCCTTCCCCAATCCCTCCACTACTACCCCGCATTCCTCCCGGCCGCGATCAGCTCAAGCCTCCTGCAGAAAGTGCTGCAAACCCCGAAACCGAAATGGACACACCTGAGGCGCCGTCGCCTCCAATCCTACCCGACGTCGCTAACGCAGAATACGAACGCCCTCCTGGTCCCCGCCCCGTCATTGTCCCCGCCGCTGCCGGCATGGTTGGCGGATCCGGTGATCCCGCGCATGCGGGAACTCGACATCTGGGCTGGCGCGCCACACGGCGGGCCGAACCATGTGCTTGTCAACGAGTACTTGCCCGGACAGGGCATCCTACCGCATGAGGACGGCGGGGCTTATTGGCCGGTTGTTGGGACGGTTAGTTTGGGGGGCGTGGTTGTTTTGGATGTTTATGAGAAGAGGAAGGGTGCGGAGGGGGAGGAGGGGGGGGTTGGGGTGAGGGTCGGGAGGGTTTTGTTGGAGGATGGGAGGTTTGTTCCATTCTGCTTTTTTCTCATTCGCTTCTTGAAGGGGAGGGGCTGATTTGTAGCTCTTGTTTAGTCTACTGGTCACCACGGGGGATATGTATACCTCGTATTTGCATGGGATTGCGGAGGTTATGGCTGATGATGATTTGGGGCCCGAGACCATCGCGAATTGGGAGTTGCTGGGGGATAAAGAAAGGTTTAAGAGTGGGAGGAGTGAGAGAGGGACCAGAATTAGCTTGACATATAGGGATGTGCTCAAGGTGGTGAAGGTCGGAGGTGGGTTTCTACGAAAGTGAGGGCGTGATACTGCCATCTTCTTGGAGCAGTTTGGTAATATGACATCAGAAATTACGGCAAGTACGTAGCTACCTAAATAATTGGAAGACGAAATCCCCTGTCCCAGTAAAGTCTAGTTAAAATAGTAGGGGTATCATGTTCCATCTGCCTATTAGAGGGGGAAAACTCAACATTAGCAACAATCACCTCACCCCATGCCTAGAAAAGTGGGGAGAACAAACCTTCCATACTCTTCTCCCCAAACTTCCCAATATACCACTCCCTATTCAACATGCTCGCGGCCCCAAGATTAACCCCGACAAAGATCAGCGCAGTCAACATCGTAACATTGAATGGCCCACCAACCCTCGGAGCACTCATGATCGTGAGGCCAAGGTAGACAAGACACTCAGCAAAGTAATGCGGACAGACCAACTTCCGGAAAGCCGGATGCACGGGAAGCGTATACTTCTCGAGACTGGCAAGGTAGGCATGACAATCGTGCTGAAACCCGGAGCCAAGAATAAAGAACAGAACGCCAATGAAGGACCTTGCACTAGGAGGTCCGATAAGGGAGTAAAGACTCATAGGTGTAAACTTAAAAGCATCAATCGCATCTAACCACCACTCCCATCAGTAGCCCACGCGGAAGAAAGAAAAGAGAGCGGCCGGGGGGAAAACATACCAGTCCCCTCAACCCACCCCCCAACACCCACACCCAAATAAAACGCCAACCCAAGTGCATAATGCACAACCCACATCCGACTCCCCCCCCCTCCCTCCACTGCAGACCTCCTCTGCACAAACAAGCACTCATACAATCTCCTCCCAGTCTGCAACACCAAGCAAGTCCAGGTCAACACGACCTGGTGAATCGACTGCCCACCCACAACGCGCCGGGGACTGCCGGGAGCGGCGGCCCATTCTGGGGTTGGGAGGTCACGCAGAAGGGTGTAGAGCGGGCCGTGAGTGGAGATTTGCTGACCAAGGAGAAGTAGCGTGGTTAGCGCTAGGATGTAGAAGTGCGTGAAGAAGGAGTGTGGGACGGTGTAGGTTGCGAGGTGGTCGAGGAGAGCTGTTATGGGGTTTCTGGAGTCTTGAGGGGAGGTGGTGGGTTTGGCATCTTTGGCGTTCCTGGCGGTGGTGGTGGGCGTAGCGGCTTTTCCGTAGACCAGGAAGCGGGAGCGGAAGGGGGGGATGGATTGGATGAAGAGGATCTGCAGATTCACACTGTTAGCCACTCCTACCCCTTCGCAAGTCTGGAAGGCCAAGAGCGGGACTTGCAGTTGCAGAAGCAAGAACGAAGAAGGCGCGCAGTAACGTTGGGACAAACATTATCACCCTCCCGGTCTTGAGTGCTGGCACGGTTTGACACTTGTGCGGTGCCAGTACCGTACAGTACTGTGGATGATGGAGGTCACGTTAGGGTCTTGTCCAGTCCGGTCCGATCCTCGTTGGCTTGTTCCACTTCCGCTTCCCTCCCCTTCCCGCTTTCGGCTCGGAGAATTTTTTAGGGAGGCTTGGAGTGGGACACGGCGATGGCGGGTGGGGAACAGCTATCGCAGGCTAAACCCAAGGGGCGGCGGACTGGACGGCCGAGATAAACAGAGTACTGTACCGTACTGGTGAAGGGATCTTTCCTTATATAGTAATTGGGTTCAAACACGGTATCATACCTTCGAACCGGTAGCTATGGTGTTGGATTGCAGGCTTCACACTTCCAGCCTACGATACCGTATCCAGTGAAACAGACAGTCCCCTCCCTCCGTTAGGAACGCCACATTTCCACTCCCAACCCCCCCCCCCCCCCATCATGCCTGCCCTCCCGCCATGCCTCCCGTCATTTCTTCCCAACGGTTGAGCGTTTCAAGTTCAGCGGGGAAGGGAGTGCCTGCCGCTGCCTGTAAATTTGAAATAAAAGAAGTGCCACCTTGACAACCCTCGGCAGTGATAATAATATTTACAAAACATCCAAATTTAAATATCATGCCCAAGGTACGACGAGTACCGTACGGTAAGGGCATCGGACCAGGAAGCGGGTCAGACGGGCAAGCGGATTAGTTGAAAGTGCACCGAAAAGGTAGGAACCTGAAAATCCCAACTGGCACCCAACACTAAGGAAGGGGGAATTCGGAAGGGCAGGGGATATTCCTGGCAGCGCATCGGAATATCTGCATCTGCCCTTTGGAGCTGAATTCGGAGGCTCGATTTTGTTGAAAATTCCGCCGTGAGGATTTGAGCAACCTCAGACCAAGAGAGATCCACTTCTATTTACGTCTGACCCACTTCCTGGCCCAATACGGTGGGTTGTTGTACTCGAGTACAAGTACTGGTACTGTGCAGTCCAGTACCGAATACGGTACATGCAAGGTCAAAACAGGAACAAGTCAGATTTTCGGGTCAGGGTGATTTTTGTGATATGGGGTGTATGCACGAGTAGAACAGCCATAGGGTACCAGTACCGTATTGGCAGGAGGGGAGAAAGAATAGAAAGAAGTCTTCTGTCGTCAATATGCATCTGGGGGATGGGGAGTCTTTAGGGGTATCATATCGGTAGTATTGTGGGGAGGAGAATGTGGAGGATGAAGGGATTGCTTGTGAGGGACGGCGCAGCACTCGGGTAAGTTGCTGTACCGGTATGGCAGAATACCGTACAGTCAAACCTCGCTGTCCCGCATGAAATTCTGCGAATTCAATTTTTTTTTCACACGGAAATTTGGCCCGTTGTACCGGATCATTCGTTGTACCGGGCAGTTTCTTCGGGTTTTGGTGGCCCGGGAGAGCGAGGTGCGAGTGCACTTGTGCAGCATCACTTTGAGTGCTCGTCCCGGGCGATTAGCGCCCGAAAATAGGGATTGGGGTGAAGAAATATGATACGGTACGGTACGGGCATGGCGGTTGTGCTCGTACAGGCAAAGGATGTGTGCATATCTATCCCAGCGCCAATACGAAATGTGTCCCCCCCTATTCCTGGGAGCCGTACTTTTTGCCCGGGACAAGAATGATAGCGGTGGTCGCACGATCGCTGTCATGAATTCTGTGTGCACGAGTAGAGAAGAGTGGATTGCTTTGGTAACCCAGCTGCGGGCATTTCGTTCTCACCCCACAGACACACACACACACCACCTCCCCCACCGTAGGACCCGTACAGCACGACGTATAGTACTGCGGCGCTGCTACGCCCGATGTACAGTATGATATGACCTGGGGGAGGAGGAATCGTATCACTTTGACGTGAACAGAGGGCACCGTACTTGCCTTGACTTACTTTTTATCATGTTGTAAGTCAGCATGGCCTTACCTTGCCGAGCGTACGGTGCAGGCAAGTTAGGCAGTGCAGAGTACAGTACTCGAGTACCGGTGGAAAGAATGGTGGAGCGGGGTAGATTGATGGAGCTGATGGGTAGAATGGATGGATGGACGGCCATTGTGATACTTTAGCCTTGTGTACTCGTACTGTACGAGTACGGTACTCGCACAGCATCGTATCATTCCGTATCATGCCGGCGGACCAAAAAAGGCTTTTTCCCATCATCATCACCATCGTAATCATCATACAGCTCCCCGTGTCTGTACCCGTGCCTATTAGAATGGACAGTTCCTGATCCCCACCGCGATACTGCCGTATCCTGTCGCAAACCATTCTCCTTCCTCCCCGACTGCCGAAACCTTTCCCCTCCCTCCTCCTTCCAGCATGGCAGTCGGGCCAAACACGTAATACCCGCTGAGAGAAGGGCCGAGAATGAGGAAGCTTGGCGAGCAGGCAATTTTTATTTTTATTTTGTTTTTATGCGTACTTGATACGAGTGAGTACCCGCCTGTGCTGTGCTGTATGGTGCACTGGTACGGGTACAGTGCCTTGAATAGGTCCAACCATAACGAAGAACGCTGTCAAACCCTTTCAGCCGCAAATTTCCAGGTGAAATACCGGTGAATAAGTGGGTAGTCTACCGGTAGTCTACTGGCACAATGCCATAGCTACCTAAGCAACGAGGGGGCAGTGGGCTCTGGAAGGTGGGTTTTTTCTGTCCGAGGGGGGGGAGGTTGTTTGTTACTGTACTCGTAGTGTGAGAGAAGGTGGGAAGAGAGATGGGTTAGGCGGACCGTTTCCCTCTTGTCTCTCTCTCTCTCTCTCTCTCTCTCTCTCTCTCTCCATCAAGTGCAGCAGTGCACGCAGCATCCCACGCACACCTCCTCGATTTCTCCCTACTATCGCTTTCTTGCAACTGCCCCCCCCTTGCCATTTTAGATGAGTTGGAGGCGCGAAAGGAAGGGCAAACTGGAAGGCTCAATCAACCATGCCCGGGTACTGTAAGCCTTCGTCACAATGCGCAACATTTAATGAATGAATGAATGAATGAATACTTGTATTCGTACTTGTACCATGAGGAAAGAAGGGAAGAGAATAGATAGGTCAAATCACCATTATTTTAGCCAACTCCCTGGGGGAGCAAGAGGAATGGGGTCGGTTCGTGACTTGATCCCCCCAGCTTCCTCCCCAAGTACTCAGCCATATCAGGGCGGCGACTTTCTAAAAGGGGGAGCACTGTATTATCACGCACTCGGGAATTAATAGTTAATTACTAAGCTATTCCTTTTCGCTCTTGCCCTTTTCCCACTCTTTTCCCACTTTGCTTTAACCATCTTTTCCTTCCTTCCCCCCCCCCCCATTTGTCTTTTTACCCTTTCCCTGCTCTCTTACCGCGCCCTCACACCCCCCCTCCTTCGCAACGACCACCAGACAGACGAGCTAGAGCAAGTCAGCGGAGCCCCCTCCATTGCCCACACTTCCTCCACAAATCAACCATCTTGTCCTCAGTGCCCGCTCGAGGAACCCAAACCCAAACCCAGCCAGCCCGTAATCGAGTCCTCCGCCTGCCTGCCGTTACCCACCACCGGACTGACGGGTACAAGAGAGGTTACTGCGCTGAGCGGGACTGATTGACTGGACCGCTGGTCACTGTACACCCTCAACCCACCCCTTCCCCCATTTCCTTCCCGTCCCCTTCACCCTCACTCTTCTCTCTTCCACCAGACCTCACTTTTTCCCCTCGACTCTCCGGTCGGTTGGCGGAGACCGAGAAGGAAAGAGAATTAAAAAAAAAACAAAAAACAAAACTGCCGACCCATAAATAAATCACCAGATCCAACCAATTCAAACCGACAACCCGGAATCCTTTTGTTTTTGTTTTGTTTTGAATCTTTCGTTCCTTTAAATTCGATACCCAATCCCGTGAGAAACGGAAAGACACGAGAAGGAAAACAACCTACTTTTTTCTTTTTCTTTTCTTTTTCGTTTCTTTTTTTATATAATTTTTACCCAGAAAAATAAGCCCTGCGCTTTATAGCGATGAAGGTCTCCCATCACCAACGACTGCGATCATAATGTCATCCTCCCCTGGTCTTCCACTACAACATCAGGTAACCGCGACCGCATCCCCCAATACTCTGCCCTCTAGGGCTCCCCCTCTTTCGCATCAGCAGCAACTGATACCACGATCGGAAAAGAGGGATTCGACGAGGACAGCCTCGCCAAACCGTTCGCCGCGCAATACGATTGAGGGTGATTCGGAGGCCGAGACGGTAGTTTTGCCCGAAGCACCGACGACGGCCGACGTGATAAGGGTAGAGACGCGCAGAAAACCCAATACTAGTGCTACTGCAGAGAATGGTGCGACTAACGAGCATGAGAGGGGGAGGAGGAGAAGGGCTTCTGAAGCTGGGGGGACCGGAGGAGGAAGAGGTGGAGGAGGAGAGAGGACTTCTGGAATTAGAAGGGAGGGTGCTAGTGGTGCAGCCGAAGGGGGAAGGGAAAGGAGTGGGAGGGATGGGGGAAATGGAAGTCGTGGTAGAGGCGTTGCTCAAATGGCGAACGAGCGCAAACCTCGTGGCAGGCCACCGAAACGAAGAGCAAAGGTCGAAGACGAGGACGAGGACGAACATGGTTCTTCCGACTTGAGCTCCGCGCCGTCGCGTTCTTCACGGACCGGTTCGCCATCTTATCCCATCCATCGCCGCAAAGTAAAGCAGCAGCAACGCTCTCAGCTGCCGCCCTCGCAACCACAGCACCAGGAGAAGCAGCGGGAGCAGCGAGAGAGGCAGACACAGCACAGCGGTGGGCTGCGGAAACGTAAGGTGCCCGGTTTCGTGAGTGGTGTTAGAGCGGACTCGTCTGGATCTGAAGCCGAAAATTCGGATGACTTGAGGCATAGCCGGCTGCGACGCAGAAAGCGAAGGAGGAGTTTACCGCTCGATTCCCCACCGCCCCAATCACGTCTTCCAATGAAATCCTCACCGCCCCCCTCTCCACATTCGTTGAGTCTATTCAAATCTAGCGCGCGAATCAAAGAGAAAACTCACGCTGGACAACGGGCATTAAACCGTCGAAAAATACCTACCCCATTAAATTCGCTGTCGCGGGAAAAACGCTCTGGTGACGAGGCCTCTTCTTCGTCACCTTCATCTCGAGACGGTTCTCCTGCACACACTTCTCGTCACCCACATCGTCCTCAATCATCTGTTCGAACACCTGGCTCTCCAGTAAGTATGTCTCATAAGCCAAAGAGGGATACTGCTGGTCGGACACATCTCCATCGAGCGTGCCAGAGGGGAGCTGTTGCCGAAGTCGAAACTATTCTTAGCCAAGGAAAAGAGTTTTTGAATGAGGAGGATAACGCGGGTTATATGCCTTTACATGAAGCTTGTCTCCTTGGGCACCTAGACGTTGTCAAGGTTTTAATAAATAATGGGGCATGGCTCGATGTTCCCTCCCGACTGGAATTGGATACACCACTGCTGGATGCCGTTGATAATGGGCATGCTGATGTTGTCAAATACCTTCTGGAGCTCGGCGCCGACCCGCGGAAACGGAATAAACAGGGACAAACAGCCCTCGATGCGAACTCTGCCAATCGTGAAACCCCAGAAGTGTTCCAGGAGATTGAAGACCTTCTGAAGGTCGCCATCAACAAACCCCGCACGAAGCGCTCTTCTGATGATGAGAATCCAAGAGCTAGCGCTGCTGCTGACAGTCATTCCTCTCGTGATCCATCGGTAGCGAGCCCGGTTCATCAATCCCCACAAGCCCCCTCGGTTCCAACTGCGACCCGCCGCCGGAACGCTCGGACGGAACAAAGCCGAAAGGATTTGCTATGGCTGGATGCTGGGAAGAATGGTCTTCAGAAGCTCAGAGAAACGGCTCGGGAAGGGGACCAACAGATGGTTCATGCGTTACTGGAGAGGGGGACCAAACCTGATACCGAGTCGTTAATCGGCGCCATTAAGGGTGGTCATACTGATACCGTTAGTCTGCTCTTAGCTTATAGCGCTGTTGTGGACCCTGAACCTGGGAATCCTGGGCGAGACGGCAGTCGAAAGAGTCGGGATACATCGATCCCGGTTGGAGAAGAAACGCCTATGCTTGCTGCTATTGGTCGAGGGAACCTTGAAGTGCTACGATATTTGTTGGAGAATGGTGTTGACCCGAGGCGACGGGATAGCAAGGGGAAATCATATGTAGACATTGCACGAGAAAGGGAGGGGGAGTTCTGGGAGGAGGAGGTAGACATGCTAAAGAAAGCTTGGGACAAGGCTGGCGGCGGAAGGGAGAGCAGGGCTGACAAAGCGAGGAATCCTTCGACCCATAAAGGCTCCTCTCCCAAACCTAAAAAGATAACGGACGGAAAAACAGTATCTTCCTCCTCACGTCGCCCCAACAATACTTCCGCTTCTTCAATAAACCTAAACATGCCGCCTCGTCGCTCCTCGTCGGTTAACCCTTCTAAGTATGACGACACCACCACCGCGGTGTCTGATCACGAATCCGCTGCGGAGCCCCTCGGCCCACCCCGACTTCGAAGGAAGCCTAAGCGAAGCGAATCCGACTCGATACCTCCAGTTATCGCGAAAAGGAAGCGACGGTTAATTTCCGGCAAGGATTTGGCGGAGGAAAGGTCACAGGATATACCAAAATCTACGCCTACTGGGGGGGATGCTGAAGCTAAGGATTCTAAGTCATCGAGCCTAAGATCTACTGATAGGCCCTCGAGGAAGCACCGGTCGAGTAACGATGATTTCGGGCGGGAAAGGGCTGTTATAAATGTGTCATTGGAGCGGGTAACTCGCGGGCCAAGGTCCGATCGCAACGATACGGGTCAGCACAAGCCGGAAAGCAGCGCCAGGGACAAAAGATCCTCCGTCAAACGTGAAAGGACACGTTCCCCTGCCTCCCGATCGGAATCCGGGCGTAGGTCCGACCATGAAGGAACTCGGAAGTACAAAAAAATAAAAGATCGTATGGAGGAGCATATATCACAGAAGAAGAAATATGATAGTGATAGCTCTGCCAAGAGACCAAAGGAGGAGCCGGCCGGAAGCAATAGGCGAAAGCTCCATCCTGATGATGCTCGGGGAAGAAAGGACTCTGCCAGCAGATCTCGGCGACTTTCTCGAGATGAGGGAGCCTCTGAAAGGCTGCATCATGATAGAAGGGATGAAGGAAGACTACGTCGGGATAAGTCTGGGGACGTTCCCGAGAAGCATAGGGAGACGGAGAGGTCTGGCCGCGATAAGAGGGAATCTGACAAGAGGATCAAGGCAAGGGAGGAAGAAGAGAAACGCAAAGCAAAGGAGGAGGATGACAAACGGAGAGAGCGCAAGCGGCAGGATTTCCTCGCAAAGGAACAGCAAACTATTCAGGACAAAGCCAGAGAAGAATCCAAAAGGGCTAGGGAGGAGGAAGTTGTCAATCGCGAACTAGAGCTCCGAAAGCGGCGTACGGAGGCCGAGCGGATTGAACGAGAGAAAAGAGAGAGGGAAGAGAGAGAAGAGGAAGAACGTTTGGCGAGAGAGAAGGAGGCTAAGGAGAGAGAGGAGAGGGAGAGGATCGCACGTGAGGCTCGTGAACGAGAGATACGCGAAGCCAAGGAGAAGGAAGAGAGGGAAGCTCGCGAAGCCCGGGAGCGTGAAGAGCGGGAGGCAGAGGAAAGGCGTCAAGCTGAAATCAGGAGAAAAGAGGAGGAGAAACGCCTTGAGGAGGAAAGGAAGCGCGAAGAAGAGAGGAAACGCCAGGAAGAGGAGGCTAGGATCCGGATCCAGGAGGAAAGGCGACTCGAGGAAGAACGCCGGAGGAAGCTCGCCGAAGAACAGCGCCTCAGGGAGGAAGCCGAGAAAGCCGAGAAACTCCGTCTTGAGCTCGAGCAACGCCGTGAAGAAGAGCGGAGACGTGAAGAGGAGCGCAGGCGGCAAGAAGAAGAAGCTCGCAAAATTGCAGAGGAGCTCCAACGTCGGCTCGCCGAAGAGAAGAGGCGCAATGAGGAAGCTGCAGAAAGAAGACGGCTGGAGGAAAAAGCTCGCCGCGAAGCGCTTCCTTACGCCCTTAGACATGCAGAGGATTCTCCCACCGTGTTGGGGAAGTCAAAGTTCCTGCCACTGTATTGTGCCATGTTCTCCGCCGGTTCCGCATGCCCCTCGTCAACCGCGTCAACACCCGTTAAACCGGCTGGCAATGGCGTCGCGCAAGTCAATGGTGTTGGAAGCGTGAGGTCCTTTAAGTGGATTCTTAATGTTCAGGCAGCGTTGGTTCTGGGGGTCACAGATCTTACTTTGGCTAGATGTAAGTTCGAGTCTGGGAGCTCTTGTCCACTTGGGTACGGTTAAACTGATCAAGCGTAGACGCCGATCTCGATCGTCATCCGATAACCCGTGAGGAGAGATTCCGAATGTGGTCAGTCCTTTCCGTGATGCTCTGTGAGAGCTCATATGACAGTCACAAACCCATCAACGAACTCGAGAATGCACGCAGGGAAGAGAGATCGAAGTTCCTCTCGATGGAGCAAGTGTTCTGGATAAGGGTATGCTCACGTGCCCCCATGCCAACCATTTCCTGTATCTAACCGGAAGTGATCTAGCTGGACGACTTTATCGCTCTCATTAATACGGACCCGAAATATATCTCCCTCGCAGCTTCAAATCCCAGCACCATCGATGTGGACATGACCTTTGCAACTTCCAACCGCTCCACTCCCGTCAAATTATGTCCGAACGGAACCACAGCACCCGCAACGCCTGCCTCTACAAGCAAGGAGGAAATGGCACTCAGACTCTCGAAGCTATTTGGCGCATCACTTCCTTCCACCTCCACACCTACTGTATCCCCAACCTCAAACTCCTTCCTACCGATTAGTGCTGCTTCCACGGGAGGTAGTTCGGCAAATCCGATGCCGCCTCCTGGGCCCACAACCATTACTGCTACTACTGGCGCCTCATCATAGTTTTTCCCCCTTGGTTTTATTTTTTTATTTTTTTGCTTTTATTGCTCATGGGGGTGTTCTTTCCTGGGTTCATTTTCATTTCCATGTTTTTCCCTCGGTCCTCCGGTCTACAACATGCACATTGCTCCCCATCCACCCGTTCATGCATTGGCGGGGAAGGGAGGAACCACCGTATCGGCCCGGGGTGACGGGGGAGAGCTTTCCGGAGCTGTTGGGGAGGAGGGGAATCTATACCGGCCGTGTTTTCCCCATTTCCTTTTTTCATTTCATTTCATCTCGAGTCATGCTTACTGTGTTATGGGGGTTTTCATTTTTCGGGGTAAAGATTTTTTTTTATACAGCAATGGGTATGCTTTGCTTTTCTCTGCGTGTGTTTCTTTGGGGAGGGGTTACTTCGTTGAAAGTGAAGACAGAAATTACCATATGGGATCCTGTGATGTCTTGTTGCCGTTTGCTTTTTGTTTAAGGGTGCCTAGGCTTAGCGTAGCGTATGTTCATGTGATGATACCGTATGAGTTTTCAATTTTTTTCCCTTTTTTTTTGGAAGTTTTGATGACACCCGGTTTTCGCTGAGTTTGAAATAACTTTGGTTTTTCCTACCTTTTCCCTTCTTTTGCTTTTTTGCTTGCTCGATGGTGTCGGCGCCTGATTTTTGTGAAAGTGGTGGTAAGTACGGCATACAGTATGGTATGTAGCTTAAATCATGGATCATGGATGCTTTGGTTTGCATAGGGTGTATTACTATTTAGCTTCTTCATGCTCAATTCATCGAATTAATGTTCTTCATTCTCTTTTTCCCGTCTGCAATGTCACGAATGGATGGTTCCGAAGGTGGGTGATCCACCAAAAAGTGATTGATTCGCTTTAATTGACTGATGATCCGACGGTCTGCAGGGAAGACTTTTATTTTGTGTTCGATGCTTGCTTTCTTTGCTCCATACAAGTTTATACCCCGCCAGCCCTGTTGGGTTGAGGGAGAAAGGGAAAAAGACTTGAATAGAGAGAACAAGAGAAAAAGATGGAAATTAGCGGGTTTGGAAGTATTGTAGGAGAACGTTTCTCTCCTGGCTCTCCTCACCCCAATCCCTGACGACAACGCAAGAGCAGTTGACGACCTTTCTGGCATTTCCTTCACGATCCAAGACGCCTGCACCAATTAGCCCAGCCCCTCCCCACTTCCAATTTGCGAAGGAAGAGAAGACAGAGGGAAGAAACTTACAAAGCCCAGCCCACTCCCCCAACTTCTTCCCATCGGCAATTTTAATCAAGGGGATCTTGTGTTCGGAGCACAAAGCCTCCACGAGCTTCTTGTATGGCTCCTCCTCGCAGTTCTCGTTGAGCACAGCCATGTGGGCTTGACGACAATCCAGCGCCTTGCTCGCCTCGCGGAGGCCACGGGCGAGGCCGTCGTGGATGAGTGCGTGCTTGAGGACCCCCTTGAGTGCTTCCTCGACGGACATCTGGCCCTTGGAGGCGCTGTCGGCCGGGACCTCGATCTCGTCGGCGGGTTCGACGGGTGGGACTTCTTCTCCTGCGTCAGACTAGTGGTAATACCTGTTAGTGTGTTGTTGCCACGATATATAGAAGGGGAGGTACCATGATTGGGATTCTCTTTATAGGTGGGAGTAATGTCTTTAACCGTCCTCGAAGAAATTCCGTTTGGTGGTCGGTGGTGTTGAAGGAGGGGTGGTGCTTTCTTTCAGTGAGAGGAAAATCAGAAAAGAAAATAATCCTAGCCCGTGAAAGTTTCACTACCGCTCCGATTTCGCGGCCAGACTTTGTTATGTAGTGGGTTTTGATAGTGGGGTTCTGACAGAAATAGGGCTTTGGCCCTAACCGTCACTTGTCTTTCGACTGATCCCTCCACAACCCTCTCGGAAAGACAAAAGCTTGGCACGCACACACACAACCTCCACTACTGGTGAGTTGAGGGAGAAGAGATACAGTAGGTAGAAACGTCGACAACAATCAAACCCGACTGACCCACCGACCGACGAACGACCCTACAACCAACGAACGCTTAATTCTAACATACCACAGTAGCGATGGCCAAAGAAAAGTCCGGTAAGTTTTCATCAGCAGAATCCTCCTTTTTCCTCCCAGTCGGATTCCGGTCCATAACGAAGGGAATACAGGTCTCGCCTACGGGAAAAACAAAGGCTACAATGGAGTCACTCTCCGCGATCCTAAAGCCAAGGTTTCCCGTCGTAAGGGGGCCCTCAGCAAGAAGACCGCATTCGTGCGTGAGATTGTGAAGGAGGTCGCGGGGTATGGCTTTTCCTCCCTTCCCCGCCTACCGAGCCAATTGTTTACCTCCGACCCGGTTGCTAATATTTGATGTGGGCAGTCTTGCACCGTACGAGAAGCGCGTCATCGAATTGCTCCGTAACAGCAAGGACAAGCGTGCCCGCAAGCTTGCAAAGAAGAGGGTCAGTCTCTCCTTCCCCCTCATGGTGTCTGGTCGCTAACCCTCTGCGGGGGTTACAGCTCGGAACTTTCGGCCGTGCAAAGAGAAAGGTCGATGAGCTCCAGAGGGTTATAGCCGAGTCAAGGAGGACAACTCATTAGAGAAGGGTGTTGTGTGGTCGGGAGTATAAAAAAGCAAACAGAAAAGCGAATAATATACTTTCTAACTTTTTTGATCCTCTATTCTCGCTCTTTTATTCTTTCTTTCCCTCTCTACTGGAATTTGGGGGTTTCTACTTCTTTTCTTATCTGCTTGCCCTTGGGTGGGGAGGAGATTCGTCCTCGGTGTATTGCCGTAGATGGAAATGATACGGATGGGATTGAATCATGGGCATTGGTGCGAGTGATATTTGTGATATGGGATGTGTGATTCGTGGGATGATGGGATCTCCGGGGTGCGATATAAGACCTATGGGGAGGAGGGGCACATGTGGGCCGGGTGGGATCCCGATACTTTGAAGGTGGTGTTTCTGGTCCTATTCCCAGACTTCGACCGAAAAACACGGCGGCGGAAGCATGAATACAAGATTATCCTTGGACGCAATGAGGATATTCAGTTAGACTACCGCATGAACATCAGATAACCACCCCACCCATTCTCGCACATATATAGCACCATTAAGCGCCCTCAACTTATACATACTCTCCTCCGCCCGGGGGGGGGGGGGGGCAACCACCAGTTGTAATGTGCTACGATCCTACCAGTACAGTATTTACGTAATATGTGGTGATCACCGATTTCCCCAAGTCCTTATTACCCATCCGTCCGCTCTCAAGAGCCTCTATTCTACGTCCCTAGTAGGCCCCTATGCTCCCCCAACCGCGCTCCAATCTCCTTATACTTCGCCATCATCTATGCCTGGTGCTTCTCCACCAAATCCCGCAGCCCAAGGTATGCGTCTCCGGAAACGACGTCGACATTTCCGGAGGTTCTTGTACGACAGATGCCGACGGGGATAGTGTGGATGGAGGCATGAGGTTGAGTTTGGGTATTTCCTGAAGGATTTTGGTTGGTGGTTGGGCAGTACCTTTTTGACGTTTTGATATATTAGATTCAAATCCCCCCGGGGAGGTTGGTAGTGCTGCGGGAGTTGGGTTCGATGGTAATAGGGAAACATCCTCTTCTCCTTTGGCTCTTGCTTGATTTTCTCCATTGGTGCTATTAGGGGTGGTGGCACTGATACCGGGTCCTTCCTCTCCACCGCTTGCCCTGGACGCGATGCCAATATTTCCTTCTACTTCGTTAGCTCTCCCCTCCTCTGCATCACCATCAGCGTCCTCGCCTCCACCTTTGCCGTCCCCCTTCGAATCCCCCCCTCTCTATATTTCCCCCTCCTCCTCCGCCATCTCCCTCACCACCCTATGCACTTCTGGTATTATCATCCCCCGGGGCAATTTTCATTGCTTTCCCCACCTTGGCGACAATCCAGATCCCTCTGAAATGAGGACACACTTTGAGCGCTTCTTTCCACCTCATCTCGTCAAATATCTCCTCTCCTCTCCCATTAGCCCCTTCGAGTAGGACCCCCCTGGCAATCTTGGACTTCTTGCGCTCTCCCATTGCCACTTAATACTCTACACTCTGTGTGCATTGGAAGGCGTCTCGGCCGATCAGGCGGATAGCAAACCTCTGATGGGACTTGCAAAGTGTGTAGTGCTTCGCCAGGTGTATTAGGAGGAGGGTACGTTCCGGCGATGTCCAGCGCTTGCGGGTTGGTAAGGGTGTTAGGGCGTAGACGTAATTCTGGAAACATTACCACCACCACCACCACTACCCTCATTAAATTACCACGACATCCCGAAGTAAAAAAGTGATTCCCACTGCCGCTCCAATTGGTCCAGAAGATTGTGATGATGGTGCCGCGCAACTCATTCTTTCCTCCTTCCCAGCGCCCTCACTCTCACACATCCTCAATTCAATCGATCGTTCACCCCCAAGCCAAACAGTCGAGCGCAAACCCATCCAAGAGCCAACTGATTGATTGAATGGTTGAAGAGAAAAGAACGACAGAAGGGTGAAAAGGCAAAAGGTGGAAAGAAGGAGAAGCTTGTTCGCTCGCTTCGTTCGTCCGTTAGTTACTACAGTCACGCGGGTGGGAGTAGATCCCGACCAGGTTAGATTAATCTGGTATGAAATCTCCCGCCAACAGCAACCTTGCGGGTACGAGCAGGAGCGGGGCCCGGTGATCGATTTCCCCCTGGCACCGGCATTCTCGTGGGGGGGTGCGGAGGTGCTTGTGGGATATAGATTGTTGTGGTAAGGAGGATGGAGGGCAGGTGGGGTTTTTACAGCGGTTCACATAGGACAGCAGGACCGCGAGTCCCGGCGAAGGAGGGAGGAATGAAGGGGGGAGGGAGGGGGGGGGTGTGCTCTGAGGCTCACTGCATCGAACCCCACTTTAACGTAGTTTTGGGGTTTCACAAATGGTGATATCATGACTGTGAACGTATTATCAGATCATTCCAGTGGGGGTCAGTACGGGGTCGGTGGAGAGGTGACTGTGGAAGGGGCCACTTTGGTGCAATGTTATCCAGGGTTTTGTAGACAGTGACACCTCATAAGAGTGACAGGTGATGCTCAGATTAGTTTAGATATAGACAGTACTGGTGCGGCAGTCTAATACTCTCAAGCCCTAATTAGGCACCTTACAATGATTTCACAAACAAGGATACCGTATGTATCAGGATCGTTATTATCCTTAAACAATACACCACCCTTCCAACAGATATTAACTAATTTCGCCAGCCTCTAACCCATTCGCAAAGAAAAAGAAACACGAAAAAAAAGCAAGAAAAGAATCCTGACCCCTCCCAAATTTTCTATCCGCAAATCAGAAAAACGCCCAACTAACGAAACCGACAATCAGAGAACAAAAAAGCGGCCCCTATCACCTCCCTAGTAGCCCACTAGCTTCGCCGTCACCATCTCTAAATCGCGGCCATCTGGGTCTCGGTGCACCGCTGCTACTGCCGCCCTCTCCGGACATCCACTTTGGCCTCTTGACATTTTCCTTCAAATCTTCAATCCACCCGGGGGTCTCGACTGTATCTAGGGTGTTTTTGACCCTATGGAAGAACCCTCCCAGGAAGCCTCCTTGTGGTGGTGCTGCATCCGCCTCGCCGTCATCTGTCAGGCGAATAGGGCCCGTGCGGCCTAACCCAGGTTGCTCTCTAGAAGTCCTCGAGGTTCCGGGACCGACAGCGGGGGGCTGGGCTCGTGTTGCTGGAAGAAGGCCCCTAATGCCGGTTGAGCCACCAGAGGCACCGAGGAGTTCACGCTCAATCAAATCTCTGCCTTCTCTCCATCCTCCAGTACCAATATCCTCGTCCTCATCCTCGTCTTCCATCACGTTCCCAGATATTCCGAACATATCCTTAACCCACCCGTAAAAGCCGAATCCTGTCGCAGCAACAGGGAGCAATATGAGTACAGGGAAGTATCCGTCGAGGCCTTCTCCAAGAGGGGTAAGGCTGATGAGCTTTCCGAGAAACTTGTAGAAAACAGTCTCATCACCGAGCACATCCTTATCGAGCAATCCCGTAAAATTATAGGCCAATGGAACAGTTAGTCGTGCTGCATATGAAGCGTAGAAGCATGCTGAGCTCCCCGAGGTCATCCTTTTGACAAGTGCATGGGTCCCCCAGACCTTGACCGTCGTCAAGGATGAATAGGCACACGCGCACATATATGCTATCCAACCCGCCGCAATCACTTGGCCGGCAAGACCGACCTGACCGCTCGTCGAATATGGATGGTGAATGACAGTATAACTAACCAGCGAGAGCTTTGGAGCAAATCCATGAACCAATTCTGACCAAACTATACAGGTAGAGGCAAGCGCCAGGAAGGCGGCGATGGCTCGGTAGAAGTGAGGCAAAACGTAATAATGAAGAACATGGCGAGTATAAGCATTCAAAAAGGGTATCCTTTCAAAAATCGATGAGCCAGAAAAATGTCTTGTAAACTTCAATCGCTTGGTTCTTGACGAGTCTAAAACAGCCTGTGCGTCTGCCGCAGACTGCACTAGCGCCTGCCATTCGGAGTTGAATCTAGCCTTCTTATGGGTCGCAATTTTGAACCGTTGCGTCAGCGATGCTAGATACTGCTCGGTGATCACTAGGGGCACCCCGGCCCGTGACCGCACGGGGATCGCCGATTCTGGAAGCTGGAGCATATCACCAAGCTCCCCAATCCAATCTTGAAACTCTCTTGCAGATCCATGCTTCCTTTTCATCACTTCCCTAATGTCCACTTCAACATCTTCCAGATTGTTTGTTGCATCCAGCAGCTTGTCGTAAGCTCTGGGTGCATGCACCTGTATTCTCCTCAATTTCCCAGAAACACTGGCATTCCGCATTACACCACGCGGTACAGCGACGAGGCCATGGCCCATAAGGAAGATAGCGATAGACAAGGCATAAAAGTATGACAACGCCATAACGAGGCTTTTGAGCGAGTAGAGACGCACGCCAGAGGTGATAAATACGTAGATAAGTCCGACAAGTCCGACAGATAAAACCATTAGCTGATATCGAGCATTTTCGCGAAGTGCTTCCATCAACCGATTACGAGGAGAACGGTGACCGGAACTGCTGTATGACTGAAGGATCGGGAGGACAGCCCTGGGAGGGAAAATGAACCATTAGCAGATGACCTAAAGCCTACCGGGAGGAACCCTACCATGTCAAAACGAAGCATAGCCAGTACGAAACTCGCCAGGCGACTAGGAGAACCCGTTCATGCAATACAACACCTGCGCCCCAAACATAAGTTATCAAGTCAAAGGTTTAATAAGGGATAAAGATAAGGGGGAATACCTCGAGAGCCGTCATCCCCCGCTGCCGAGGAAGCAAGGTCTATAGGCACCAGGATCACGATAGAGCATGAGATTAAAAGAGGAAAGAATGTAGCAACGATCAGATACTCTGGAGTAGTTCTTAATGGGAGATAGTGTCGCTGTAATAGCAAAACAATGCCGGCAAGTGTTATCAAGCAGAGCCCCGAAAACAGTTCCGAAGTGAGGGCCATCGTAGGTTGTGGATGGAGTGGGGAAAGTGGGAGAAGGTCACCAGAGAGGTGTTGGCATGGGGAGAGAGCGGGAGAGCTCGCACAGCACAGTACTAGTACGTAATGGCAGTGATATTGCTTAGTCATGTCTCCCAGCCGAGTGGTTTGGCCGGTGTTTTGGATTTCTCCTCCCATAAGCCTCGGATACCCATCTCTATCATGCGGTCTGGCTCCGGCAACTCGCCGTGTCACTCGCTCTGTGGCAATCTAAACGGCGGCGCTGAATAGCCCAAAAGGGTCTTCGAAACCTTCCTGCTGCCGTACCTGTGTGAGTAGAAACTCAAGTACCGGTATTCAATCCCCCAGACTGCTCTCAGAGCCACCTCCAGACCCTGAGTACTGTACAGTATGGGTACTGGTGCCGTACCGTACCGCCACTGCCGCGTAGCACGGTATTTCTCTGTTCTGTCCTTAAAATTACCATCTCGTGAAATATTTATAATGAGGAATATTAAGGGTCAGCTACCGTACACCCAGGGGACGTTACAATAGGATTTGGTTTATGCTGATCGATCTCAAGAATTAGTTCTACGCCTCCCCTTCTGTAGCAATAAGCAGTAAGAGAGAGTGCCGAAAATTGTCTTAACGGTTGCGGGAAATATACCAAGTATCAAATGCTGTAGGGATAGCGTCGCTGCTCGTGCAGGGCCCCTGTGGCATATCGGTGCAGTGCCGGTACAGTGTTGTACCATGAGAACGTCAATTAGTAGTCTTCCAGACCATGAAGGTATCAACCCCACCAGCTCGGATACATAATGCGATAATAAAACTTACACCCCACCTACTGTACGCAAAGCTATGCCATAATGAGAGCTTATTCTACGGTAGGGCAGTCGGTTCTCGGAGAGGTGCCAATCAGGCAGTCCCAGTTGGTATAGTGCGCAGGCAATGTCCTTTTTTACACGGTGCCGGTGCTGGACTCCCCACAGAAGGCCGTCGTAGTTTAATGCAATTTCCCGAATTATAATTCTGCAGGAGGATCTACTCGTATAAATGAGGTTCTTCCATACAACCCGGTGAAAGTTAACGATTCAAAAGGGAAGACCGGTTCGAAATTTTGGCTTCTATAGCTATCATACCAAAGCATCCGGTATGAAGAAATCACCAAAAGGCGTAGTCGCTCTGAGAGAAGTTGACCCAAAACAGCTGAAGGATACCGTATCATACGGTACTGTACTCGAGTAATGTACTCGAGTATCTTATCATACCTTTGGCTGGTAAAGGGTGAGGGATTACTGGACAACACTTGAAGTGGGGCCTTGGCGTTCTGAAGAGTTCGCAGATGGCTGCGCTATGCAGCGTGCTGCAAGACTGGGTCTGTCGTTCTTCCCCATACCAATCCTTCTCTGTCGTCTTCACCAAACCACTTCCATCCCCCGTCTACCTCCAACCATCGTTGATTTCGGTTTTGCCTTCATCTAGTTATCATAGTTTCAACTTTTGATTCACCCCCTGTTAACAAAATCGCTTGGGAGAGCTAAAGACACGAAATAACCTTATCCCACCAAGGAAATGCCCGGATTAACATCTGCCTCTGGCTTAATCGGCCTTTTGGATGAACCAGATCAACGACTGAAATGCTATGCGCTACAGAACCTGGATAAGCTGGTGGACCAATTCTGGGCTGAGATTGCCGATAGTGTTTCGAAGATGTTTGTTGAAGCTCCCATTTTTGCGCCGCCGGATCCTCCGGGTTCGCAGATGCATCATTATCTGTGTCTAGCATCCTTTTGATCTAGCACCCACTTGATGAAGCCGACGATTACTGACGAATTTGGGTGCGACAGAGAAGTCCTTTATGAGGATGATCAGTTTTCTGAACGCAACCTTGCTGCCTTGGTGGCTTCGAAGGTCTACTATCACCTTGGTGAATATGATGAATCAATGATGTTCGCCTTGGGAGCTGGAGACTTGTTTGACATCACTGCGAAGAGCGAATATGTTGAGACCATGATCTGTAAGGGCTGTCCCATCCTACCGATCGCTCAGGATAAAACCAAGCCTGCTAACCAACTGAAATAGCTAAATGTATCGACAAGTACATCGTCATCAACTCCCACAACGACTCACTTTCATCCCCCACCGAACCACCCAATGTTGACGATCCGTCCTTTGCCATCCCAAATACCAAAAAAGATGCGCAACCAGGAGTTCCCCAAAAGGCCGACCCTAGGTTGCAAGACATCGTTGAGCGAATGTTCCGGAAATGCTACGAAACAGAAGATTACAGGCCGGCTATAGGGATCGCGATCGAAGCTCGAAGGCTCGATGTCGTTGAAGAGGGAATAAACCTAGCAAGCCGACGGAGCAGAGATAAGAAGGGGAAGGAAAAGGGCGGCGAGGAGGAGAAGGATGGTGGGGTAGAGCTGATGGAATATGTTCTGGAGATAAGCATGAAGGTTGTACAGGAGATTGGGCTTCGGGAAAAGGTTCGTTCGATTCCTCAAGGGCCCCAATCTCACAGCTCTGGATGATAGAAGCTGATCCCAAGGAAATTAGCTTCTCCGTCTTCTGGTCAACCTTTTTCTCTCACAAGGCAGCCCTGATTATTTTTCTATCAGCAAATGTGTCATCCATCTTAACGATACATCATTAGCTGCAAAGATTCTTCAAGAACTTGTGCAAAAGGAAGACACCAAGTCATTGCTGGTAGCCTACCAGATTGCTTTTGATTTAGACTCCTCGGCTACCCAAGAGTTCCTCCAGAAAGTTGCCAACGATCTTCCTGGCCCTGAAGTCGATGAGTCGGACGCACTGAGTACTGCTGCAACCGCGGGCGGTGATACCATGGTCACCGACTCAACAGAAGACGACGAGAACACTAGGCTTCTTGGAGGCAATGCGAGTTCGGCCGAGTCAATTTCGGGTAAGACGGGCAAATACTACCGTTCAATCCGACAAATCCTGCGTGGGACCAAGAGCATCGAGATCGCATTGGAGTTCCTCTTTAGAAACAACCACACAGATATGAGTATTCTTAACAAGATCAAGGATTCGCTTGAGGCTAGAAACTCTATCTTCCATACCGCCGTCACATTTTCCAATGCTTTCATGAATGCGGGAACTACCAGCGATGGCTTCTTCAGGGCAAATCTGGAGTGGCTGAGCAAAGCCGTTAATTGGTCCAAGTTCACCGCTACTGCTGCATTGGGCGTCATACATCGCGGAAACTTGAGCCAGGGTCTCAAGTTGCTAGAACCATACCTGCCTCAGGAGGGCGTGTCTACCGGTTCTCCGTATTCCCAAGGTGGTAGTTTGTATGCCCTTGGCCTGATTTACGCCAACCACGGAACAGATGTGCTTGACTTTCTGAGGAAGCAGTTTAAGGGCACCGCGGACGAAATGGTACAACATGGTGGCGCCCTGGGCTTGGGTGTTGCCGGAATGGCGACGGGCAGTCAGGGTATTTATGACGAGCTCAAGACCGTGCTGTGGAGCGATTCGGCAATCGCCGGTGAAGCTGTTGGACTGGCTATGGGATTGGTCATGCTGGGTACAGGGAGCTCCGCTTCATTAGAAGATATGATTCAGTATGCACACGACACACAGCATGAAAAGATTATTCGAGGCCTGGCAATCGGCATGGCTTTGATTATGTTTGGGAAACAAGAAGCCGCCGATGACCTGATAAACACTCTTCTCGATGACCCGGATCCGACACTACGATACGGAGGTATCATGACAATAGCCATGGCTTACTGCGGCACCGGTAGTAACAAGGCAATCCGGCAACTGTTGCATGTCGCTGTGAGTGATGTCAACGATGATGTTCGCAGGGTTTCGGTCATGAGTCTTGGATTTATTCTCTTCCGAAAGCCGAATGCTGTGCCAAGAATGGTGGAGCTACTGAGCGAAAGCTACAATCCGCACGTCCGGTACGGTGCCTCCCTCGCCTTAGGCATTTCATGCGCCGGAACCGGTCTCGACGAGGCTATCGACCTCCTAGAGCCCATGATAAAGGATCCAACGGACTTTGTCCGCCAGGGTGCACTTATCTCAATGGCCATGATTTTGGTTCAGCAAAACGATCAGATGAACCCTAAGGTTGCTTCTCTGCGAAAGACATTTGAGGGAATGGTGGGCGAGAAACATGAAGATGCAATGGCCAAGTTTGGAGCAGCGTTGGCATTGGGCATTATTGATGCTGGCGGAAGAAATGTCACGATTGGATTACAAACCCAAACTGGTAGTTTGAATCTCCCAGCCATTGTTGGCATGGCAGTCTTTACACAATACTGGTACTGGTTCCCATTGACGCATTTCCTAAGTTTGAGCTTTATGCCAACTGGCTTGATTGGTTTGGACGATGAATTGAGTGTTAGTAGACTTTTTCAACTCGTATTTGCATAAAATGCACAACTAACTATAGTATAGGTGCCCGATTTCAAGTTCTGGTCAAATACCAGGCCATCACTCTTCGACTACCCACCAAAGGTTGAGGAATCGGCCGAGAAGGCCCCCGAGAAAATAGCCACTGCAGTTCTATCAACTACTGTGAAGGCCCGCCAGCGTGCCAAGCGATCGGAGAAAGAGAAGGCCGCGAAGGAGGCTGCCGCCAAGGGCGAAGATGCCATGGAGACAGACCACACCGTCTCCACACCCGTAACCCCAGGACCCATAGCAGAAGGCGACGATAAGATGGACCTTGAAGATGACTCCGCCGAAAGGAAAGAAGGTGACGGCGAGGGTGAAAAAAGAGAGGAAGGCGAGAAAAAGAAGCGGACAGAGAAGGAAAAAGTTGGATACGAACTCGGAAACATGTCTCGAGTCCTTCCAGAGCAACTAAAGTATATTAGTTTTATCGGTGACGGCAGATATGAGCCCGTAAAGAAGGTACCTTTCTCATAACCCCCCTCCACAAACGCGGAAACAAGTTGACATATATACAGCCAACCGGCGGCATCCTCCTCCTCCTCGATCGCACCCCATGCGAGCCCGTAAGGCTCATGGAACTCAAAGCCCGCAAAGCGACTGTACCCACAGCGACTAGCCCCGGCCACACCGTCGGCTCCGTCAACGACGGCCCGGGCACCGGTGGCGCTGCGGCAGCAGTCAACGTGCTTAATGCAGAGGACGACGAAGGTGACGAGGACGCCCCACTACCAGAGGACTTTGAGTACATCACGGACGGTGAGACTGAAGAGGAATTATAGATTTTGACTGGTTTTTCATTTTCTTTTCCCCCTCTAAACTCCTCATTGTTTTATTTAATTGGCTTTGTGCGGTCGGTTGGGTGGGTGGATCAAAATCATGTTTTTACTTTAGCCTGGACTCTTACAGGGAAGACGGGGTAGAGATAGAGCGAGACGGAGGGGAATGTATTTAGTACCCATTATCTCCTTTTCTTCATCCTGTCAAGTTAGTCCACTGTTGCTATCACTGTTGTTTAAAAATTCTGCGACTAGGTCTTTGCTCATTGCAAACACCTGATATCCGAGTAGCCCAAATTATCCATCCATCAACCTCCTCCTCCCATACCATCCCCGCAGATCGCAAACACAGCAAGTAGAGACTGCAGCGCCAGTGCACTACGAGTACAATGGATGCACACCCTCCTCCCCCCGACACAACTCAACAGGAGGAACTCTAGTCTGGGCCATTCCTCTTCCCCACCCCCCGCCTCACACCCAAAAACAAACAAACCAATCCACCAACCGAGTGACACCCCATGAACCAATAATTCCGGGAAGAAAAAATCCAATCACATTATCATATCATACCCCTCGCTAACATAACAGTATGACATAAAACGTTCATTCAGATGATATAACGAAGGAAGGAAAAGGGAAAGTAAACAGAATAGCCAAATATCTATAGCGAATAATCACACAAAACCGGCATAAAGCATACATGACCACGGGTGGGTTTATCTAGGTAGGTGAAGTGAAAAGTGTAAACGGACCGGGAACGGGAGAAAGCAATCCCATGATTGCTGATGAACAGACTGACAAACAAACCCGTGCTACGAATGAAGAGAAAAGGGAAATATATAAAAACAAGCAAAAAGGAAATAAAAGGAAATATCATACGAGAATAATACCTCCCAGGATATCATTTTCGGTCGGGCTGGCGGAGTGCGTGGCAACGGCAATGATAATAAAGATAAATATGGGCTCAATAGGAAAAAAGGGGGACGAAAACAAACAGCTACAAGGCAAAAAAAAACCCCCCCACAAACGTTATACAGATAAAGGCTTGAATTTCCCTCTTCCTTCTCTCACCCATCCCCATAACCGCATCATAGCGCGCGTGTGAGAGTGAGAGTGAGAGAAAAGGGAATATAATATTACACTATCGCACCCAACCCAACATCGAGCTAGACTTTCCGCCCAGGCCCCACCACCGTCTCAACAAGTTCCAGACCAGACAGGCTGGGGTATCTCTTTGCAAAGTTTCTCTGCCAATCTTCGTCTGCTCCATCGTTGCCGTTCATATCCCCCCCGCTATTTCTCTGTTGCTGTTGCTGGGAGGCTGGTGGTGGCAGGACCGGTGAGCTACCGCGGAGTTTGGTCGGTTTCGGAGGTGGGTCCGGGCGGTTTGCTGAGGTTGGGGAAGTTGATAATACGGACGAGGCGGTATTGGACGACAGAGGGACGGGCTTCCGGGAGAGCTTGTTACCGCCAGAGGAGCTAGAGACAGGTCTGATCTCTATGACGGACTCTTTGATCGGTGTATTATCAGAAGTACCCGGCCGATAGGCGTTGTTTCCGCCATCTCTATAATACTGCTTAGTTCGAATCTGTCCATCCACCTTCGGTTTCTCGGAAACCCTCACCCGGCCCCCGGCCTGGTCAACAGGATACCCTTGCTGGTGCTGCTGAGCGTCAGTGAATCGGCCATAGCCCTCCGCCGTTTTGGGGACAGGAGCACGGTGATTTTCACTGAGGAGCGCTTTAACCTTGTTCTGGATCGAATTTGCTCTGCTTCTTGAGCTCGGGGGTCTCCCGGAGCTCCCTTCACCCGGAACTCGATCAGCCACCTGCCGCTTGTATTCCGCCGCGGCAGCGGCGACTCTCCTCTCTTCTTGCGACAGCCGGCGTTTCTCCAACTCCCTTTTCATCTCTGGTGGCACATCTTGACTGCTAACCTCCCAATCATCCCCAATCTCCGAAGTTTCCTGGCTCCCGCTGATGGTCGGCATTAACGCTCGGTCCATGTCGGGGCTTGGGGTGCGATCTCTGTCATGACGATCCCCTCCGCTTGCACTGCCGGTGTTATTACGCTCAAATCTCCGGAACGCGTCACCAAATTTACCAGCCAGGAGGTTCTTGGTATTCGGGAGTGATATTGAAGGCATGCTAGCACGTTTGACATGTTTCCCAACAAATCCTCCGCTCGAGCTGCGCTTTTCCGGCTTCGCGTCAGATTCAGTCTCCATTACCCGGAGGTAATCCACATTAGATTCGATATGCTCGGAACGCTGAGAATTTATGGATTGCCCAGTTATACTCCGCTGTACAGAGATACTAGTTGGCGGTCCCATACTAGCCTGGGTAGTGGCAGAATCCAGATCTCGGAGGAACTCCAAATTAGATTCGATGTAAACACTAGTCGGTCGCGGTTTGGAGTTTGCGGACGCAGAGCGATTCATGGCATTCGGATTAGCAACATCAAGGGCAGATGCTGGACGGTGGATCTCAAGAGATGGTCTCGAGGAACTAGGGGTTCTGGACACAGTCACTGTATGCGTGTGTGCTGCGGAACGACCTATATCGAGCACGGATGGCCTTCGTGGTTTAAGGCGAGACATTGCAGGTAAGGCTTGCGAACCCTGTTCCAACGACCCACCAGTAGGCCCTACCGGAGATGGTGACCTAGAAGATGCTGGAGAAGTCATTGTGCCGGTAGAAATCATGGGAGGCCGAGTAGGCTGAGGCTCCGAAAGAGTGGGCCACCCCGATATCCCGCTCCCGGTGATACCCCGTGACACGCTTTCCGGAAACCTCGTGCTCGTCAACTTTGGCGGAGAAGGCTGAGTCGTAGGCGCAAAAGCATCATCTGCCAACCTCTCTGTCAATCTAGTATTAAGATCCTTTTTCGGGGCTTCCAGTGCCGGGGGTGACAATTCACTAAATTCAAATTTACTTCCATAGTCATGTAGCAAAGAGAACTGCTCAACACTAGGGAACCGATTCGAGAGCTCGTCCTGTTTAGCTTTCGGTGAACCCGAATCCAGGGCGGAAAATGGGTCCGTAGATACCGGCTTCATCTGTGGCGATGGATCTGCTGCCCTAGTCCTGGAGGTAGCGGCTGAATGCACGGCCGAGCTTTTAGCCGGTCTCCCGCGTCTCATGGGAATTATATCGGGAATGGCTTGACTCTGCGGTGGAAGAGGTGCCTGATACGCGACAATGCTGGGGGGTGGTTGAACCGGGAGAGCTGGCTTCTCGGCTGGCTTAACTTTCTGCCCTACACGGTCGGAATAGATCTAGGGGCTAGTTAGCATTAAAATCATTTGTAGTGGTCCGGGGAGCTAACATCTTTAATTGGTATTTCCTTTCCACGCATTAAGCACACCTCCCGGACAACCTGATATATATTGGGTCTTAGCTGAGGCGATTCGCGTAGCATTGACCCTAGACTCATTAGTTTAGGGCGATTAGATAAGAACTACAGACTAACCAATAAGTTTCTTAATACGGTCTGAGAAAGGAGGGTACGAAGGAAACTTGAAAGAAGCGTTTAGAATTGCCAACTGCCCTTGGTCTTCGAATGGCGTCGTGTAGTAGCAGAGCTTGTACAAAAGAACGCCAAGTGCCCATATATCCGACTTCTCGTCAATCGGTAACTTCCGATATACATCGACCATCTCCGGAGATCGGTACTGGAGAGTGGTATGCTTCTGAATATCCTCCTCCATCAATCGGCATTCCGCAACCGATTTCGGAGCCGTTCGGACGGGTGCGCAAGATCCAAAATCGCATAGCTTATACCCCCGATGCGAAGCTATCAAAACATTCTCGACCTTCAAGTCCCGATGGAGGAGTGGGGGTTGGAGGTAATGCATACAAGCAACGCCCTCTGCCACGTCGTCGAAAATCTTGAGGACCTCGGGTTCCGTGAGCCGATTCTGCAATCGAGTGTTCATGAAATCAATCAACCCCCCTCCTGTGCAGAAATCAGTCAGCAACCCCGTCCTCCCCTCACAAAAACTGGGCATTGGCCCATACCAGCACAATACTCCATCAATAAAAACACCTCATATCCTCCGCCTTTCAAATGCGAAGCGTGCGAGTCGATGTAGGTAACAATGTGCCGATGACCTTTTAACCGTTTCTAACAATCCAAGTTTAAGACATATTATACCCGGAGAAAAACCAAAGCTCCGAAACGAACCATTGTCTCCACCTCAGTCCTCATACTGGCAAGAGCCTCCTTATCGGGGACAGCAACCCGCTTCAAAACAGCCACATCCAATCCATCCACCGGCCTCGAAAGTCGAACGAGATATACATGGGCAAACCCGCCTGGTGATCCAGTTGAAAGGTCAGTGAAGGGAGAGAAGAGGAAGAAGAGGAAGAAGAGCTGGGTGAGGGGGGATGTTGCTCCCGGAGGTTGAGATAGAAAAAGCAAGACTAGCCTTCAGATAGATAGCGATCTATTGTGCATTTGTGAGAGCCAACTGTAATCAGTGTTCCCGGCAGAAATGTACCAGCTGGAATGTTTGGAGCAGCGGCTATCGCTGATCCATGGAAGGTCTGCGGATGCGAACTGTGATGACTGTAGGTTGGCGCAGCCATATATGCTTTGGACTGCTTTTGCTGGGCGTGGGAGCTCCGTTTGACGACCAATCGCAGAGTAGTACCAATGGAGCGACAGAGAGCGAGTGGTGGTCACTATCTAAGAGATGAAGGACGGGGTACCTGTAGGGAATGTCAGATATCTTTGGATTGTCTCCTGTCCGAACAGCAAAAGGGTCCGAAGAGAGCGGATCAGAAGTCCAGGAGAGGGACTCTTGGTATTGTAGAGGCACCAGGAGTGAAATAGGGCCAAAGGGGACAAGTACACGAGACGAAGGACGAGTATGTGGAGGTGAATGTGTGGATGAGTCGACCGGCCTTTTTTCGGGGAGGGGGGGTGGTTGAGGTGGTAAGGTGGGTGTGTGGGGGGGGGGGGCAGGCGAGGATCTGGCCTACTTCTTCTCCTTGTTGACGTTGTAGCGAGCGTTCGTTGCCGGCCAGTGACCATACAAACCCTACTGTAGAGTATCACAAGTTACGTTTTCTTCGGGCCACTCATCATCATCCAGTTGCAGTACTCGAGCACAGGCATCCCACGACAAAGCGAGCCCGCTGCAAGGTGAGAATTCCCACACAAATAATCTCTGTCCAATAAAATTTGTATGGCCGTTCTCGTACCATTATGCTTTCTCTCTTTGATGCGCACTACCGGTACCGCTATAAGGAAAGCCTGCCATGCCCCCCCCCACCACAAATCCCGGATTTCAAGATCTAAAGACTCCCTATCGGAGGACTAATTTCTTTTTTCCCCTCACTTTTCCCTCTCTCTCATGCACGATTTCGCACATAGAAGCATCGTGCACCATAACAGAGATTACTTCTAACAAAATTCCTGCAGAAAGGCCGGGCCGGCGAATCCTCACTCCTCAAACCCTCTCTCCTCATACCACGGGAGCAAAAGTGACGGTGCTAGTTACCGGTGACCACTGAGCTGTAAGGTAGCCAAGGAGAAAGACCTACAGTACCTTGCCGTAAGGTGCCATAATCTACAAACGCTGATAGGTATCATACTCGCGCAGGGCCGTACCGGCACTGGAATGCATGATATCTTCTCGGGTCCCGTCGACATAACTCAATTAACCTTGGGTTAAGTACGGTACCTAAGTACAAGCGTTGGAACGGTAATGGAAGTTTGTCTACCTTCTCTGCTAAAGATACCCGTGTCTGCGGTGTAGCGGAGTGCAGCAATGAATGAGCCCCCCCATGATACAGACAAAAGGCTTCCGGAACACTATTGAACACGGCATCATACACATAATGTTATGATACCATGAACCGGATGGTTGTATCATGTACGGTGCCGATTCCCTCTTTCTTCCCCGGCTCCGTCATCCCACCCACCGTGTTTCACATCTCGAGGGTCAGTCGCCCGTGTCACTCGTCAGCCGCAACCCGATGCTCGAGTGAATGGCGTACCGTAGAACTAAACACCTTGAGTCGTCCGATTCCCCTTTCCCCTTCCTCTCGCTTCTCTTTCTTCCCCCCCCCCCCCCCACTCCTATCACTACGGCATAGGGCACCGGTACTCGAGTATTGCTCTACCCATGATACTTACCATCGATCACATGACGAGATGGCGAGCACCGAAAAAAAGGAATAAAAAACAAAAATCCTCTGGATGGAGGGATCGCTAATACAGCATTTTCGCGATCGGTGACAACAAACGCTTGTCCGGTCTACCGCAATGTGCTTTGTTTTTCTGACCAGCACATATCACCATATATTTACCCGGTCGGGCAATTGGAAAGAAGGGGGAAACGGCGGCACCCTATTCGATCGGATGGTCCCGAGCTTTCCCCAGTCGCGCTCTTGATTCGACTTGACTCCATGCATCTGCAGTCTCCCCCAGAGGGTGTACGGTAAGTCTGGGTAGGAACATCAGGCTATGTATGTATCGTGATAGGCCTGTTCAGAATGGTACATCGTGATGGCACGACAGCCCAAGACTTTCCCCTGCGAAGACCAAAATTAAAGACCGAATACGAGTGATTACGTACGATCCCCAGTGATCCAGGAGCGAGTGTGTGCGAAAGGGAGAGGCCATTATTGGGCCCGGACTGGAGGGGAGCGAAAGAGGCAGAGTGCAGGGGGCGGCCTCTCGGAATACCGGTGCACAGTACCGTTAGCTGTTCCAATGCAAGCAACCTCCTGATACAGCGATACGGTACTGTCAACCTTACCTGCAGTGGGAAGTGCTCGAGTACAGAACCCCGCACCCGGATACCATAGAATGATCATCCAGGGGGGTGGAGGATTTACGTTAATACCGGAACTATGGAGATGCACAGGGATGGCTGCTCTCTTGATTATCAACCGAAACGTTACGGGTACAATTTAGTCTACACCTACATCTCACATGTGGTATCGAGTGATGGCCAATGATCTTCCAGCTTACTTGCATGATATGTCCCGCGGAGCGGGGGGGGAGTTTCGCTCCCGGGTAGGATAGGGTTGTAGATGGTCCTAAAGTTATCAACGTTTACTTGTTGGCCCGGTACTGTTCTAATGGCGTTGTTCCCTTGCAGGGTAGTCTTCTTCTTCTTCTCTTCTTTTCTTTTTCTTGCTCCGGTGGTGTACTATCAGGCGGTAGTTGTGGCAACAGGAATACCGCTGGATATCTGTTTGCTGAGGGCTGGCTGTATACCCCTCTTTACGTACGGTAAGGAACATCTTAAAACATTCATTATACCTGCGGGTACCGTAGGAGAACGATACCGGTCTTGATGCCGCTCTATATCGGCATACCCGTGGTTGATGCTTTCGAAATAGCCGCTCAGGTGTGCTATTTCAAACGGTCTTGTGGGGAAAATGGAACTTTGGGTTGGAACCATCAATTGGATAAGTTAGTTTGCATGGATATATGCTTACGTACTGTGCTCTACCGGTGCTCGAATACGGGGATGCTACGGTAGGGGATGCAGGAAGCCCATGGATGAAGATCTCCCGAGGCTCCAAGAATAGGGCTCAACTCGCCAACGTCTTATCCATCCCTTTAACTCGAAATCCCCATCACCAGGATTCGGTAGCGCAGCACAATCAAGCCTGAGCCGCCGACTGCAAGTGCAAGTATGAACGGTGCAGTGCGGTTGCTAAACAGGTGTTCCCAGTGAATAGCCAGCCTTCTGGACACGAGTTATGATACCATGATATTGCATGTGCAACAGTCACCACCCACCAGGGGGTACGATATGTGAGAACCTGATGGCGTACCGTGTTCCTCCCATGAGGAATGACCAATTGTCGAGGAGCTCCGACACATTCAGAAAAAACCCACTTTAGGGAATTGATTGCCGTGAAGGCTTACAATATGCAATACCGGTAGTTCGTTTTGACCCCGTGGGACGTGAAAAAAGGAAAGAAGAAAACGCGCCGTGCTTATCGGTACAGTGCGAGGCTATGACAAGCGCTGCGCTGCGTAGATGGGGTGGGTGTCAAACCTTACGGGGGGGGGGATGAAGTGCGGTACCCAGCGCATCTCGATCACGATCACTGTACTGTAAGCTTCCTCTTCCTGGGCATTGGCTCAATCCAACAATTTGGTATCGTGGCTGAGGGAAAATAATAAGTGGGGTCAAATTTCTGGTGGGGGGAAATCTCGAACCGGAGAATTACATTTGGGTCCCTCACACTTGATCTTCCGGGCTACTATAGTATGGTACGGTAGCTCCCCCAGATGTTCGTATCATATTTGCATCTTCTGGTCTATTATCTATCGAGAAGTACGGGTGGAAAGGTAAAAGTAATTATTGAAGAGCCTCAGCAGTTTGAGGTCGGGGTCCCGAGTGTCTGGTTAAAGAATTTCTCCACCATCACAGGAGTGGCTGAAGGTGCGAGATGTTACGTTTGGTCTAATGTTTATCGACGGGTTCACGGATTGTCACACAGAGGAAACACCTTTTTTTATAGAAAACTCCAGGCGCACCGGTGTCGGCACGGTGCGCTAGGTCCGGGTAGACGGGTGGGCGCGTAGGATCAAAGCTCTCCGTACTGGATCCGTGTCCGAATCAATCGAGCCATCCGGGTTTCATCGTCTCGTTAAGCATATGAAGCTTGCGTCAAATTGGGGGACAGGGCCGAGGGGGAAAGAAAAAGGTGAAATCGAAATCCGAGCTCGACCTCTGATTGTATGTTCTTGGCCACCTAAGGATCGGGGGCCAGTTGTTTCTTTCCATATTTTTTTTCTTCTTTTCCATTTTCTCCATTTTCTCCCGCCTTCAGCAAACATTGGAACATCGCGCCTGTATCGGTATATGGAGTTTTCCATTGGGCCCTCGCGTCTTGGGCTAAGCCACTACCCATGGGTACGATGTTGAACCTCTCTCATCTCTCTCTACATCTTTGCACTTACCCTTATGATAGATAGACTACCCTTACGAGGAAGTTTTGTTTGTGGAAGCGATGGATTATTCTCGGCACCGGTGCCGTATCTCCTCGCATCCTCGCTCCGCTGGGCGGCTGGGTGAACTGGGTCAGAATATGCTTGAGCACGATACCGCATATGTTAGTTACCCTACCGGTTCCCATAGGCTCCGGTGGGTCGGGGAAGGGGGTTGTGGATGGGCACATGCCCTCGATGCGGTGCACTGTAAGGAGAGGCTCTTGTAATTCGCTAGGGGGCGCGTCACCGTGTAAGCAAAGGGAAAGAGGTTAGCGTAACTTGGCAAAAGAAAAAGGGTGGTCATTGGGGTGGGTTAGTCTGCAGTGATTCCGACGAAAGATACATTAAAAGGGGAGGAAGTAACCCAGTCCGAACCTTCAGAAATCGAGAGCTCCACGCAGAAATCTGCAGCATTCGAGTACCACCCTTCCCGACCCGTCAAGCCATTTTTCCATCATTTTCACATTTATTTTTTTGTCCGTTTCCTATCCTTTCCCCCATACCTTGGTCTTCCTTTCCGAGGAATATTATCTTTTCGACGGATCAATTTTTCTCTCGTCTTTCTATTCTCTTTTCTATTTTTTCATTTTCCGTCACCTTTTTCTTTACTTTTTCTTCCCGTCGGGCCACTTTCGCTCTGGGCTTTTTTCCTTCTTCTCTCTCTCTCTCTGTTGGCCCTTCCAACCAGAAGGGTTCTCAGCCTTTCACAGATTTCCGTCCTCCACCGCCCACCCACCAAGCACAGAAAATCATCCCAGCCTTAGGTCGAAAGAGGTCGACTACCACCCCTGGTCCGCCAAGAAAATACACCAAAACACCAAACAGAGCCCCCTTAAAAACCTACCGTTGTCCCCGCTCACCCGCCCGTTCGAACATTTTACCGATATCTTTCCCCCCCTCGTCTCACTGCTGTACCTGCTTGCTTGCTTGCTTGCCTGCTTTTGCCAACCCAGCCAGCCGGCCCGACCTATATCAACCTCGACTGTTGTTGTTGACCGTGCTTGGAGAATTTCCTTACCCTGAGCCCTGATTGGACAACTTGCAGCCCCCCCCCCCCAACCGTGTGTTCGAGCCCTCTGATCAACCCCGTCGCGCCCCCTTCCCGTCTCCGCTCGTGCAAATAAATAATAGTACCCGTAGCCTCGCGCCAAGGTTGTGCTTTCTTATTTCACCCCCCATTCAACCAGATCCAACTGCCTCGACTCACCACACATCACACACCATTTCCTGTTTAATAATTGACTTTTTCCCGCTATGGTCCTTGTTGCCTAGAACATGTCAAGGTAAGAGAGATCTCCCTCCCAAGAATCTTGCTCCCCCCACCCCCAAATCCCTTCCCCCTCCAAGGAAATAATCACCTCACGTGATTCTCACACGCAGCTGCTGCAACTGCAACAGCAGGCTACGCGGATCTTACGGTTGGCAGAGTCCACTGTCCATGTCCAGAAACTAACGAATTCCCTATATGATTTGATCGCTTTCATTGCGTATTATAGACTGGACCGACTTGTAACGTGAGTTTTACCCCTTTCCGTTATATTTTGGTTTTTCTATCCCCGTTGTTCTACACCCCTTCCTTCCTTCCTTCCTTCCTTCCTTCCTTCCTTCTTTTTTTTTTCTTCTTTCTTTTTTTTTCTTGTTGCCTGCATTGCACGGACAAAACTGTCAAACCTCCCGTGTGCGCATTCGCAGCTGTTGCGTTAGCCTTTGCCATTGTTTCTCTTTCCATTCCTTCGGCTCCGACCATGCCTTCTCTCGTTGCTGACTGTTTGCGGAGGTCAGACTCCTCGACTCCGGGTCGACGCAGTTGGTGCGCAACACCGCTGCGAGTCAGCTCGCGGATGTCCAGAAGGCTCACCCCGATGAACTCTTTAACTTGCTGAATCGGATCGTCCCATACCTGCGTTCGAAGAATTGGGATACCAGGGCGGCTGCCATAAAAGCCATATCGGGCATTATTGAGAACGCCGATAGGTGGGATCCTAATGCGCTTGACGATCCGATGAAACCGGAGAAAGAGGGGGACGATGAGGAAGGTCTTGGAGCTTTGATGGGCGTGGCATTTCTTGGGGTGGGGAGCGGCCTTCCCTCTGCTGGGGCTGATGATGTCTTGAACTTTGACACATTGGATATTGCTACCGTGATCAAGAAGGGCAAACGGCTGCTCGGGAGCTCCGGCAAGGAATATGATTACTCTTTAGCGGACTTGGACCCGGCGGAGCGTTTGGCTGCACAGAAGAAGAATGTCACGGCGAGGCTCGGCCTTGGTGGAGAGTACATGGACGAGGAGATTGTCAGCGAGAGGGATTTTGCGACTGTTGGCCACACAGTGCAGACGCCTCGTATCGACACTTCTGTTGGGGGAGCCTTCCGTCAGCCCATGGCGTCGCCTGCCTTACAATCTGCGATGTCTCCTCATTCCGGCTTTCCCGGCACGCCAAACGACGAAGCCGCCAGTGGCTTGAGTAGAAGGCAGCAGAATGCACTTAAGCGGAGGAGGAAGCTTGATGCCAAGAATCAGGCAAACAAGGTTCGTGTGGTAGATTTAGGGGCATCATCTCGTAGGATGAGCGTGGATGTGCCACAAACACCCGTCGAACCGTCGCCGCACCCTGTCAAGCAGGAGAGTAATGGGGTTAAAGATGCAGACTATTTCTCATTGGATACCAAAGGCCCACCCGATGAAACCAAGATTGCCGTTGAGTTCACAGGCCCCAAGGCGCCACCATCCCCGATTATTCAAACGTCTGGGGAAGGATTTGAATGGCCATTCGAGCGTCTTTGCGAGTTGCTGCTGGTAGATATGTTCGACCCTAATTGGGAGATTCGACATGGCGCGGCGATGGGAATCCGTGAAGTGGTGAGGGTCCATGGTGCTGGAGCCGGGAGGGAGCGGGGTAAATCTCGTAAAGAGAACAATGCCCTGAACTGGAAGTGGCTCGATGATCTGGCGTGTCGTCTTTGCTGTATTTTCATGCTGGACCGTTTCGGCGATTATGTGGCTGACACTGTATGTGACCCCCCCCACGGCCCGGTTTTGTAGGTTGGGTGCTGATTGTGTACCGGCATAGGTTGTTGCTCCGATTCGCGAATCGACCTCTCAAACAATGGGTGCATTACTAATTCACCTCCCACCGCCATCTGTTCATGCCGTGTATCGGGTTTTGTACCGCCTGGTAATGCAAGAGGATCTCAACCTTGCGCACCCGATATGGGAAGTGTGTCATGGCGGGATGTTGGGGCTGAAGTATCTGGTTGCGGTCCGAACAGATCTATTGATGAAAGACAATGAACTATTGGATGGTGTAGTTAGAGCAGTCATGAGGGGACTGGGAGATCAGGACGATGATGTCAGAGCCGTTAGTGCTGCTACCTTGATTCCTATAGCCGCAGAGTTCATATCTTTGCGACCAAATGCTGTGGATGGGTTAATTAATGTTGTCTGGGAATGTCTTTCGCATCTTAAAGACGATCTTAGCGCCAGTACTGGGTCTGTTATGGACTTGCTAGCTAAACTGTGCTCATTCCCTCAAGTTCTAGAAGCCATGAGAGTCAAGGCTTCGACGGATCCATCGTGAGTTTTTTCGACTCTGGTTTGCTGTGTTATTGTTGCTAATCGGTCATAGGCAATCATTCGCCTTGCTCGTTCCTCGGCTTTATCCGTTCTTACGTCATACCATCACAAGCGTGCGGACTGCTGTTTTGCGGGCGCTTCTAACGTTCTTGAATATTCAAGGTGATGGGACAAAGGGCTGGGTTGATGGCAAGATTTTGCGGCTCATTTTCCAGAATTTGCTTGTGGAAAGAGTAGAGGTAGGTGCGATATATTTCGCTTTTAATCATGGACGACTAACGATGACTAGTCCGTACTATCCCTGTCGTTACAAGTATGGATGGCATTGACCGAGGAGCTCGCGCGGGATGACCCTGCTCGTTTCGTAGCCGAGTTTGGCCCTCACCTGGATCCGTTGCTTATTCTCCTCACTACACCTGTTGGTGTTTCGCGCCATCCGCAACCCATGGATCCTTCCTTGTTTATTCGACCTTCCGGGCAAACTATGGTCCTTCCGGGTTTGATGAGGGGCCCTTCGCCTTCGCAGCCGGCACAAGAGCCTGCGACCAAGCGGCGTCGCAAGAACGAAAAGAAGGAGGAACCGGCTGCGTCGCCGCATAATGTTGATGGTCACATGATACATGGGGATATCGATCTTGTAGGCGTGGAGACAATCATTAAGACTAAGATTGCTGGTGCGACGGCTTTGGGCAAAGCCATTAGCCTGTGGCCAAGAGAAGATGCAATCCGTACATTCGAACCTAGGCTTGTTCCGCTATTGCAGTCACCTCACTCTACGACTCAATTGGTGACGGCAATGATATTTGAGGAATATGCAAGGATAACCTCCGAGGTTACAGATTTGAAAGCACAATTCTTGGCGGCTCTCACCAACTTTCTTAACTCGGAGAGGCCTTCCTCTTACCGCGACATTGTGTCTTATATGCACATTGTACAAGCTCAATGCCGATCCTTGCTTAATGCTTTCCGAGACGTTGGTAATGTGTCATCCTCGAGGATTCCAACTATCGCTGCGGTGTGTCAAGGGGAGCCAGAAGCGGGTCCCGATGCATTCAGTATTGAGAAGGCGGAGAAGATTGTTGGCGATGATTTTGCTCGGTTGAAGCGGGCTTTGGCCCCAGCCCAGAAACTCATGTCATCACAGGCCCTCGCTGATGCTAAGGGGGTTGCCATAGCGGCCATTGAAGAGGCTAAGGCTGCAAAGGCGCAACGTGATGTTCGTGTCCTGGCAGCAGCTGCTGGGGCGTACATAGCTTCTGGTCAACTCCCGAAGAGGCTGAATCCGGTTGTGCATGGTGTGATGGAAAGTGTTAAGCTGGAGGAGAACATTGATCTACAGCGGCGGTCTGCATTATCGATCGCCGCACTTGTGGGCATCTGTGCTCGGAGCGGTCGTACAGCTGTTGCGGACAAACTGACTAAGAATCTCAACTCTTTTCTTTGCCTGGATGTCTCCGAAGTGCCGATCTTTCATCAACTTGAGGATCTGGAGGATAACATACTCTCTCTTCGGAAGGAGGAAGACCTCAAAGATCACACTAACCAGGCTGATTTTGAACGAGAGGCGAAGGAGGCAAAGGTTAAGAGGAGAGGGGCCAAGGAGGCCCTCGAGCAGCTTGCGACTACCTTTGGGGCTTCACTGTTTGAGGCGGTACCAAAACTTAGGGATTGCATTGAAACACCGCTTCACGTTGCCTTCGATGGTGACTTGCCGACAGATATCAAGGATCCTAGTGTTACCCTGGGCCAGGAGGTTGTTGACGGACTATCTACCATCCGTGCACTCCTTCCTCGGTTCCATCCCGACCTGTATCCTACCGTAGGTTTCCTTAGCCAGCCTTTGCGACCGAAAGCTCACTTAGTTTTCAGATAATCGGGCTTTTCCCATTGATCGTCAAAGCACTCCAATCACACTTTACTGTTTTACGGTATGCCGCCGCGAAGTGTTTTGCGACTATTTGCAGTGTCATAACTATCCCTGGGATGACGGCGCTGGTACAGCAGGTCCTCAAGATGTTTGATAACGCGCATGATCTGAAGTGCCGACAAGGGTCTATAGAATGTGTTTACCGTAAGTCCCGCTCCGGGGGTGTGGCGGGCTCGCAGGTTGGCTAATCTCATTAGATTTGATTCATGTGATGGAAACTGATATTCTCCCTTATGTTGTTTTCTTGATCGTGCCCGTTTTGGGCAGGATGAGTGATCCTGACAATGATGTTCGTCTTATTGCTACTACGGCATTTGCCACGCTTGTTAAGCTAGTTCCTTTGGAGGCCGGCATTCCCGATCCTGTTGGGTTACCGGCCGAGCTTTTGGAGGGCAGGGCAACTGAGCGGAAGTTCATCTCACAAATGCTTGATATTCACAAGGTCGAACCCTTTGAGCTACCTGTCGCGATTAAAGCTACATTGAGATCCTACCAACAGGAAGGTGTTAATTGGCTTGCTTTCTTGAACAAGTTCAAGCTTCATGGAATTCTTTGCGATGGTGAGTTTGAAAGATGGCTACTTTTGGGATCGTTGACTAACGGTTTGATAGACATGGGTCTTGGGAAAACACTCCAAACAATCTGCATTATTGCCAGTGATCACTACCTCCGCAAGGAAGAGTTTAAGGCTACCGGAAATCCTGATGTGCGCCGTATGCCTTCTCTTATCATTTGCCCACCCACTCTTTCGGGCCATTGGCAACAGGAGATTGCACAGTTCGCACCTTTCCTCACGGCTCTGTGCTATGTCGGTAGTCCTACCGAGCGTGCTCGGGTTCGCAGCCAACTTGGTACCACAGATATTGCCATCACTTCGTACGATATCTGTAGAAACGATATTGATAATATTAGTCAATATAATTGGAACTACTGCGTCCTTGATGAGGGCCATATTATCAAGAATTCCAAAGCCAAGTTGACACAAGCAGTCAAGAGGGTCCAGGCCAACCACCGATTGATCTTGTCTGGAACGCCTATTCAGAATAACGTCCTGGAACTATGGTCACTGTTTGACTTCCTCATGCCAGGTTTCCTTGGCACCGAAAAGGTGTTCTTGGATCGATTTGCCAAGCCGATCGCCGCGAGCAGGAACAGTCGGAGCAATAGTAAAGAGCAGGAGGCGGGTGCTTTGGCTATCGAAGCTTTGCACAAGCAGGTGTTGCCATTCCTACTTCGAAGACTGAAGGAAGAGGTATTGGATGACCTGCCGCCAAAGATTATCCAGAATTACTACTGTGAGTTGAGCGAACTGCAGAAGAAGCTCTACGATGACTTTGCCAAGAAACAATCCAAAACGATTGTAACTGAGGTAGGGCAAGAGGGAGACAAACAGGCCAAGCAACACATCTTCCAGGCTCTACAGTACATGCGAAAGTTATGCAATTCCCCAGCCCTTGTTCTCAATGAAAAACACCCTCAGTTCGAGAGGGTGAGTAAGCAATTGGCAAAGGACAAATCGAGCATTCGAGACCCTGTCCACGCGCCGAAATTAGGTGCACTGAAGGATTTGTTAACCGATTGCGGGATCGGTGTTGAGGATTCTGGTGCTGGCAGCGACAACCCAACCGAGACCAATGCAATCAGTCAGCATCGTGCGCTCATCTTCTGCCAACTCAAGGAGATGTTAGAAATTGTAGAGAATGATGTTCTCAAAAAGCTGCTGCCAAGTGTTTCCTACCTGAGAATGGATGGTGGTACCGAAGCCCGAAAGCGTCAAGATATCGTTACTAAATTTAATGGCGATCCATCTATCGATGTTCTGCTCTTGACCACCCATGTCGGAGGTTTGGGTCTCAACTTGACGGGGGCGGATACCGTCATTTTTGTCGAACATGACTGGAATCCGCAAAAGGATATGCAAGCCATGGACCGTGCCCATCGTATCGGCCAGAAGAAGGTTGTGAACGTCTACCGCCTCGTCACTCGCGGAACGCTGGAAGAGAAGATTATGAGGTTTGTCCTATACACGCTAATACTTTGGGGAGTGACTAGTGACTAATTGTCAACCCGCAGCCTTCAACGCTTCAAATTAGACGTAGCGTCCACCGTCGTCAATCAACAAAACGCCGGATTGGCAACTATGGAGACGGACCAAATCCTTGACCTCTTCAACGTGGGCGACATGGAAGCCGTATCGAAACCTGCGACAGAGGAAGACATGGTTGATGACACCACCGGAAAAGTCATCACGAAGGGCAGCAAGAAGCTTCTGGATGGTATCGGAGAACTCTGGGATGACTCGCAGTATAATGATGAGTACGATCTTAATAATTTCATTGCTACTTTGCAGTCTTGAGCACGGGGAAACGGGGGGACGAAATGGAGTAGGGGTAATGAATGGGATTATGAGCGATGGGTGTGATTTTTTCTCTTCCCACCCTTCTCCCCAGTTACTCTTACTTTTTAGTGATGCATTGTTTCTATTTTTTTCTTTTGTCCCTTCTTTTTCTTTGTTACAATTCGATTCGCTTCACGATGTATATTATTTAAAGGGGAGACGAAGAAGAAGAAGGGTATTCGGAATTATGGATGGGGTGTGTTGATGGTTTGTCGTACTTGGCTTCTTTCTCTCCTCTTTTATGATTCTTTTTTTTTTCTTCTTTTCTTCTCTGAGATTAGGGCTCGATTGACAGCGCAAAAGCAAGATTTAGTCATAGTTTTAGGGCATTCATGGGATTTTTTTTTGTTTTGACAATTTTTGTGAAGCAGGGTGCATTTGGGTAAAGAAAAGTGGGTAGTTTTCCGAAGGGAGAGGGTTGCTGCTGGCGGTGGGTTAGGTTAGAGGTGTTTTTTTTTTTCTTCCTTCTTTTTTTTCTTTTTCGGAATAACAAATAAGGGATATCATGAGAATAAAAAAATAAAAATAAAAGGCAGAACAGGGAGACGGTATATCTTATACCGTGGTCGGGGACTTGTGGGTGGGGGTGAGGGAAGAAGGGGAAAAGGAGGGAAGGAGGGAAGGAGGGATTTTAAAGAGTGGAAATGGAAATGAGAAGTTTGTATACAGTATATATATATATTTGACGTATTTGTTCTTGATGGGAAACTAGCGGTGGAGGAGGTTGGGTTCCCTTGTATTGTAGATATTTGTCGTATGATTGCTCTCTGCAAAAGCTAGTAATCAAAGTGCGCTGGAAGCTGGTCTGGTTCTTGTTGATTGGCCATGCACATACACTATATTACTACAATACAGTACAGTACAGTACAGTATGGTAATGTAGTTGCACCTCGATGCGGTCCATCGCGCATCGCAAAGTACTGTAATTTACAGTACTCGCCGCTAAGTTACCGCCAGTCCGGTGATGGCTGGGCTAATTGCACTCCTGGATTGTTCTCTGGATGCGTATCATGATATTGTGATACCGCACATCGTGAAGAGTGGTCGTCGGTTCGAAATGCTACAGTATCTGCACTGGAGGGGGTGGTGGTGGTGGTGGCATACAAGCACACTATTCCTCTCCTTCCTCCCCCACTTTTTTTTTTTTACATTTTCAACCCTTGTCGGTCTGGGAATCTTCCCGTCCGGGGCCTCCGGCCCTCCAGTATATACGGTACAAGGGAGTGAGGAGGAGGAGGAGGAGGAGGAGGAAGAAAAAATGCTGGACATGGCTCGTGTTTGGAGTACTAGATTGTTTTGCGAACTGTGTTGCCATTGTGATTGCGATCCGGTGATGCTCTCAATGGTTGAACGAATCACTGGTATGGTGATGATATCATCATAAATTAAGTTTGGCGCATTCGGGATACGCGCTGTACTGTACAGTGGTGGCTGTGATGGACCGCCGCTGGTAAGTTAGCGTACTCGTCACTCGTACTGCATAACTGTACAAGATATGGTACTGTATTATAATTAGTAGGGACGGGATTGGGAACGGGTGTCATAGATTTCTAGCTCGGGGGTGTTGGAATTCCTGGGCTGTGATATATCGGATTTGTTCTTTGGGGAGGAGTGGGGGTATTATATAGTACCATACATAGTTTGGTTTTGGGTTGGCCTTGGTGCATTGTTTAATGCTTATTGATGAGGATTTGGTCATATCATGTCATACTTGGGGGGGGGATGGAGGGATTGGTCGTGAGGGGTTTTGTATGATATTATGGGCTATGATATATTTCGACCTCTTTACTCAGCGTATGGTGCCAGGACTATGATATCTCCTTGGGATGTGATGTGATAATGTTATGATATCATGCCGTGTTTCGGTCTCTACATTTAGTCATCCTTGTTGTATACATCGTTATGTGGTTATTTAGCCTTGAAATTGGTGATAAGCCCCCGCTCATTCATTTTACAGCTGCTGGTCTATCCTTTTCGCCCAGTTTGACTCTTTAGCTCTCCTGACAAATTGATTGTTTGGAAGCTACGCCAAGGCGATCGTGGCAGTTAGTGCGTATGATAGCAGGCAGTTCCGGAAGGAAGGCCCAGCACTAAAGGATCCGTCAGCAGCAGTGCGATTCCGTCGAAATTCTCAATAACTATCATAACAAACATGAGAAATTGCTGTCAAACACCATCGTATCACTCCCGAAGATGTATATAAACAAATATATGTGAAAGTAGCTGCGAGTAAGATAGGTAGACAGAGAGAGCGAGCGAGCCAAGTGTACAATCACGGCGAGTGATAGTCTAGATATCCCATACAGTACCAGTCGCAGTTGATGGTGATGACAGAGATTGCCAATAGGAACGGGTACAAATAGTAGTTCCAGGATATCGCAAAGTGTACCGAACGAGCCTCGATTTGCGTTACAAAGCCCGAGAAATCCAGGTATGATGATCGTTCGTGGGATGGCGGAATCCGCAATGGTTTGTTTGTCGGAAGCCCATTTCCCCACCACATTCCAGCACGAAAAGGAGGAAATACGCCAATACCGTTTCCGGATCCCCACGGGGACTCCTCCATTAAGGAGGGTGTCATGGGTGGGTGGTGTTTCCCTCGGGTCTACCGCAACGTCTACTCGTACTGTACCTCGTGCTCCTCCTTGTGGTAATTTACAGTTATGGTACGGTAACCATCCGGGAGGGGGAATTCTTATCTTGTGATTGATACTGCCGGAATGGTTGTTTGGTGGGTCCGGTTGCTAACCATACCTACCTAACCCTCGTTCGACCCTAGTTAACTTTATAATAGATTAATTATTTGTGCGATGGAAGGTTGTGGCAGAACTCTAATTTTTTTTCTTTTCTTTCCCTGGAGTGGTGTGTGTCCGGTTGAAGCTAAAACGGGATGGTCGAATCGGGTTGCAATGATGAGGTCAAAACGAGGGTTTCCGGGATATCTTATTGATCTGACCGTTTTTATCCAGATGGAAATGCCCGACACAATCGCCAGTGCAGCGCAAAGAAGAACTATCGGATCATAGCGGTGTGTGTGT